AAAAAAAAGAAAAGAAGAAAAAAATTACCTGTACCAATGAAGGTAACTTCATCTAATAGGGGCTTGTTACTATCCTTCTCTTCAACATTGGTGGGAGCGTGACTTTGACTTGAACTCTCAAATTGTTCAACAGCTACAACTTCTTCATCAACATCAATATAATTTTGGGTGTTGCTAATATGGGACTCACTGTTATTATCATCTTGAGAATTATTGGCTCTATAATTTTTGCCAAAAGCCATTGAAAAAAGAGAGAAAAAATTACTGGATATTGACTATTGAGTGAATAAAGATTGGGTTGTGGTGAGACTTGAGAGATGAGATATATATATATATATATATATATATATATATATATATATATATATATATATATATATATATATATGTTTGGAGAATGGAGACTGCCTAGGAAAAAACGAAAGTCAGAGAACCATCCAGAGACGCACGGAGACTAGGAACGACTCGCACAAAACCTGGGGGAGTGCAATCGCGAATTGACGCAAATTGGAAGAGGGAAGGTCGCGGAAGAGACGAAATTGCGATTGGGATCGCTGGACCGCCAGCGATTGGTACTCCACCATCTCCGACTTGGTGCGGCGTTCGAGGGCATCTGGATCGCCGGCGATTTGCGAATTGGAGCACCGTACCGACCCGAATTGGTTCGCCGTACCGCTGGCGATTGGATCGCTGGCGACTTGCGATCCGGTACGATTCGTACCAATTCGGAAATCGTGGCTAGGTGAACGAATTCTGTAACTATGCATGAGACATACCTTAAGCATCATTACTAAGAGGGTGTTTGGGAGTGTATCTGAAAATAACTTATAGTTTCTATTTTACTAAAACACAATTTAAAATGTTTGGTAATCTGCTTTAGCTTATAAATTATGGGTTTAGAAGTAAAAATTAAGGTCTAGAAGTGCTTTCTAGAAAAGCTAAAAATACCTACTTTCTGCTTCTAAATTATGACTTGTACTTTTACATTACTCACCACACTCCCAAATACCCTCTAATTCTCCATGTGTCTCTCTAAATCAACTTGACAATTTAACTTCTAAGTTTAAGAAAATTGTTGAAAAGTAAAAGGTGTTTGGTGAAAAGTGAAGGGTGTGGTTGAAATTTAATTGAAATAGAGAAGTGAAGTTGTCCACATATGTACGTAGTATTTCTTATTAAAGAAAGTGGAGAGGTATAGACTATTAACTTTGTTTCTAGACATCAAAAAATGGAAAGTGTAGAGTTGATATGAAGACTCTACATGGACCTTAATGTCTTCGGCTTTCAGGTCAGTGTTTTTTTTGAATTACCTGTTTCTTATGATTTGATGCAGTCAATTCCCGAAGAGGATGACACAGTAAATGCTCCTCTGGAGAGAACTGCAGATGCAGGGGGGTCTGTTGAGGAAACTGAGGTTGTACATTGGAATGTTCTTCAGTTCAACACAGGTTCGACATCCCCCCCTTTTCTCATCAAATGTGGGGCCAACTCAAATTCTGAACTGGTGATCAAAGCTGAGGCCCGAGTTCAAGAACCGAAAGGAGGTGAGATTGTGAGAGTTGTTCCAAGGCCAACTGTTCTTGAAAACATGAGCCTGGAGGATATAAAACAGCTCTTCACACATCTTCCCGAGTCCTTAAGCCACCTTGCCCTTGCTAGGACAGCAGATGGAACCCGAGCCAGGTACTCCAGATTGTATAGGACCCTTGCCATGAAGGTTCCCGCATTGAGGGACCTTGTAACAGAACTAGAGAAGGGTGGAGTTCTCAAGGACATGAAGTCATCATCATCATTGTCATCATAAGTTAAGACTTGAGACGACCAAAAATATATGGTGTATTTTGGTATAGAATTTCCCGTGGCGGCGGGGCTTGTGATCTCTTGCTTCTTGTGCCATCATTCCATGTATCTTTGGGACACTGGTAAGTGGTCTCTTTTTGTGTGGATCTAGGCATCACTTTTGTTGCCCTTGTGACCATGGGAGCATGTATCTTGGAGTGTACATAAGGCTGTCCTTTGTAAAAAAAAACCCCGTGGCCTTTTAATATTCATTCGGAGAGGTACCCTCCCCATTTATATTTAGTAGGATTCCACGGTTCTACCGGAGTACGTGATCATTGCACGGCATGTATCTTAGTTTAAATGATATGGGATTCATTATTTATGTATCAAATATGGTTGAAGGTTTTTTAAATTGGTTCCCATTTTGACCCTTGAGATTTATGTTGAGGAAGCAAATGAAAATCATATGGATAGTCTTTATTAATAGGGTATCATTTCACGTTTGGTTCTATTTCTATTTTTTGTCATACGGTCGTTAAACAAGGACTAAACGTAGAAAGATATTTAATCAATAAGGGATCACGGACATAGTAATTGATAAATATTGACTAAATATGAAAAACTTTAAATTATAAAGGACAATTTAGAGAATTTATTTTTTTTAAACCACTCTTAATATAGAAATTAATAAATATTAAAAGTGTATAATTGTAGTTTATGTGAAAGAAGTCAAAATTTGTATAAAAAATAAATCTTTTAGTAAACCATTTTTTATGCTGGGCAAAGTTTGACTTTTTAAAATAAATTATAATCATACACTTTTCATATTTATTAATTTCTATATTAAAAGTGGTATAAATAAAGTAAATAATCTAAATAATCTTTTATAATTCGGGTTTTTTTATTCCATATTTATCACATATTATGTTTGTGGTCTTTATTGATTGGATATCCAACTAATAGAGTATAAATATGGACTGAATATGAAAACTTCCGTTTAATTTATATGGAAAGGACTCTTTCAATGAGTATTAGTGGTTTGGAAAATTTTCATTGTAAAGATTTGTTTTGAAATTGCTAGAGTTAAATGTTACCCTCACATAATATTTTTCAAACCACTAAATTAAAACTTTGAAATCTTTATCTTTATATATAAAATTTGAGAGTTGGGTTTCTAAAATTGTGATATATGGCGCGCTTAATGGGTACTTTTTTATATATCAGCATGTCATGTTGGCAAGTAATATTTACAGAATTATTTAACCAAAAACACTTATTCTATGGAAATTAAATTTCATATTTGTTACACACAAATTTCTTAACATAATCGTATTTAAAAACTTTTATATTTTAATTCATTATTGAAATTTGTTTAAATTAAATAATATATTTTTTTAAAACTGAAAAAAGAACTCATATTCAAAAACAATAATCAAAACAAATAAATTTATTCTAAAAACGGATAGATTAGTACGAGTGTACGACTAAAAGAAATTACATGTGAATATTAGAGGGTGTTTGGCAGTGATTAGCTTATTGATAAAGTGATTTCTACAAAAGCTGAAAGCAAAAGCACCTCATACCTGCTTCTCCGAAACGGTGTTCCATGTACAAAATAATGTTGGTGAAAAGCAGAAGCTGGCATGCCAAACAGAGTAAAATCACTTCCACTCAAAGCAGAAGCTAAATTGTTAAAAGCAGCGCACTGCCAAACACCCTCTTAGTTTTTGTTTTGAATTAATAATAATTGGAGAGATTTTCCAATTTTTTAAAAGAGAAACAAATATATAAAAGGAAAGGAATTTTTTTGGGCATGTTTACTTAATAGAGAATTTTTGTTCCGTATATATTAGAAAAATTAAGTCAAATAAAAAGTATGTTTCATTTTAAAATTATTATTGTCCAATAAATTAATTATTAATTGGTATTCCAAATCAAAGTATATATGGTATAATATTATTTGTTATAAGTGGAATTACTTTTAAATAAAATTCTTGAAAAATATAAAACGTGTTTATTTTGACATATGTCAAAATAATGTAAATAAGTAAATTCTTGCTTATTTATTCATCGACAATCGAAAACAATGTAACAAATATTAATGGATAACAAAAATTTCCTATATTTAAAGTTTTGAAATAAATTACCATATTTATTTTGTGATGATTATTACCGATACAGAAGGAGAAGGGTTGTCAACGGCTATAGTCATGCATCATCAAACATGTTCGATAAAAATTGTACTATGTGATGTGACAAATTATATTTTAATTATTCTGAATTAAATATTTAATTTTTTCTGAAAAGTCATCTATACGGTGCTCCAACCTGGGAGCAATTATGAACATACTTCATCGCGCTTTCAAGTGCAAAAGAGACATAAGATAATTGATTTATCTTTTATAACACATGCTATTAATTTCCTTGAAGGTGTTAATAAAACAATTTTCTTTGTATATTAACTAATTATATGCATAAGATATTATCCATACGTTATTTAAAAAGACATGGATTCAAGAAATGGTTTTCCCGCCCATGCGTTAGTGCATTAAAAATGGCAATTGTTCACTTAAAATGGTAATGACTCAATTACATTAAATTGGCATCCGCCAACCTAATTATGGAAATTAATGGCAATTAATATTACACTCGTACTAACTATAATAAATAATAAGGCAATTAATAGCAATTAATATTACACCTACCCGTCCTAACCATAATAAATAATAAGTCAACTAATGGTAAGTTAATATTATTACACGGTATTTCTTTTTTTGGCAAATAATATTACATGGTATTTATTTTTTTGGTAAGTTATAATATTAAACGTGATTAATATAATTGGAAATAATTTAAAAAGAAAGTTATACCATTATAAGTTCAGAATCGCAAAATAGGAAATTTTAAGAAGTAATAATAATAATAATAATAATAATAATAATAATAATAATAAACATGATTAATATAATATGGAAATAATTAAAAAGGAAATGGTAAGTTGATATTACACGGTATTTCTTTTTTTGGCAATTAATATAACACGTATTTCTTTTTTTGTTAAGTTAAAATACTAAACTTGATTGATATAATTGGAAATAATTAAAAAAGAAAGTTAAACAATTTTAAATCCAGATTCGCAAAAAAGGAAATTTTAACAAATGGAATTAATATTACACGGTATTAACAAATGGTAATTTTTATTACATTAACAAATGTCAATTAATGTTACACGGTATTAACAAATGGCAATTAATATTACAAGGTATTAACAAATGGTAATTGTTGGGTCATTTGAGTCCAGTTCCATGGCCACTGGATTCCAGTAGCCACGGAAGTCACTGCCCCCCTACGGAGCTCCGTTCATAAAATTGATGATTCCTACCCTTCTAAACCTCTGGTAAACCCCCTCGCCAAGTTCGGATCCAGACTAATCACCCCACTTACGTCAATTGCACCTTGAAAGTATAATTTATTTTAAAGTCAAAAGTTTTGACTTTATACTTACGAGGTGCAATTGACGTAGGTGGGGTGATTAGTTTGGGTCGGGACTTGGCGGGGGGTTAGAGGTAGTAGGAATCATCAATTTTATGAACGGAGCTCCGTAGGGGGCAGTGGCTTCCGTGGCCACTGGAATCTAGTGGCCAGGGAACCGGGCTCCATTAACAAATGGCAATTAATATTACACGGTATTAACAAATGGTAATTTTTGTTACATTAACAAATGTCAATTAATGTTACACGGTATTAACAAATGGGACTGACCATAATTGCAATTGCAATTTGTTAATACCGTGTGAATTACCGTGCACTACTATTAATCGCAAAAAATGTTACACGGTATTACTTTAAAAACGTTACTAGGGGTATATTATTAAACTAAAAATTACCATTTGTGAAATTGGGAATTACCATAATTGCAATTTATTAATACAGTGTGATTTATCGTGTACTACCATTAATGGCAAAAAATATTGCACGGTATTACATTGTTAATAAAAAAGGAGTAAAATGCAAACAAAAAAAGACATAAAACAGAGACACTACAAGTATTACTTTCCTTAAAAATAAATCACTGCAAAAAAATTTAGTTTCTTTTTATAAATGCTCCTTTGTTTTTATGGGGTATATAGATCTCCACTCTATTAGGAATTTGACAAAATGAAAAAAACAACACAATTAACTCTGAACAAATTTTTTAACCTGAGTTTTGATTAATGTTATTTATATTTTAGTCATTGACAAATGTATATTGTAGTTTCAAGAGTAATAAATCATAATTACTTGAAGATTCTAATATGCAACGAAGACAGTATTTTCACAAATTTATACGAGTAATGTGAATTATAAAGTAGTCTTTTAAATATTGTAAATCATTTAACTTTTGTAGCTTAAAAAAATAAAATCTCTATATTCCATTATATACTAATTTGTAACATTCAAAATGATGTTAATATAATTTAGTAACTTAAATATATCCCGTGCAATGCACAGGTGTGATACTAGTAAACAATGTAAGCAAATACTTCGTACTTCATAAATTAATATGGTGGACACACCGATATACTTTAAATTTAGATATCAATGTAAAAGGTTCATTTGCCTAAGATAAATCAGTGGAATCCTTTTTAGATAATTTTACATTTAGAGAAACAAAAATTAAAAGTGTGTTCATGCAACATGTAAGTTGTGCAGAGTACTAAATATATATAAAAGACTAGCAATATCATATTTTATTTTTCTTTTGGAGATCATCGATTTTAGGGATCCCATGTTTATGTATGAAGTTTGGGAAGCTTTGTTATGGTATGAAGAAAAAATAAAAAAAGTAAAGATTCAGAACATCTAGAATTTTCAATTTGTTATATGAAAAAAAGTTTAACTGTTTCTTCTTAGGAAATCCTTAGATTTGCTCTATAATTTATTCTATGGACTTGGTGCGAGGAATTCTCATTACCATGAAAGATTTAAGAAAAATACAAAAGTATGTTTCTGTTCAGGTATATGGATGGAAATATTGATGCATCTCACAACAACAATCGAGCACCAATTTACTCTTAGCAAGTACAATCATCATCACATACCATCTTTGTTGTCACAAGATGGTGAAAGATCAAGATTTACGGAAGTGTATATTTCTGATACACAGAACGAGGTATCAAATAGAATGACTCATTATAGATACAACAAACACTTCATTAAGTCCAACCTTTTAATACTCATGACATATTATAAGATACTAACAAAAACAAAATACTAGTTGTTATAAAACATGCACATTGTTTGCTTTGCATTGTCATATACAATAAAAATTAAGTCAAACTCACATTAGATTTTGATGACAATTCAATATGAACTCGACCTTAGCCGATATGTTCAGACTTCAAAGTATCTGAACTTGACCCAACAAATTGAAATTCATATAGGGTTGGGTCTAGTTTGGACTGCATTTTGAGGTCGGAAGTTGCATCAAGCAC